GGGCTTTGTTTTCTCCTTTCTCGCGAGGGGGTGGGGGAGGGACCGGGCGGGGAGTTGGTTTGCTCTCCCTCTCTCTGCTTTTTTTTTTTTTTTGAGGGGACTCTCCCTCTCTCTGCTGGTATTCTTTTTTCCTCCACTCAGGTTTGGTCCGGGGCCACGCGGCTTGGGGAAGAAGTCCAGCGAGTCAATGTCTCCGGTTACACGTCGCACACTGCACACGGCCTGCCTTCCTTGTTCCTTCCCCGTTCCGTTGCTCCGTCTGTATGCTCGCTTCCGTTTGGCCTGACGGTCTTTTCTTAGAGTAAAATCGCACACATCTTTTTCTTCTCATGGTGATGATGTGAAGGACGCAAGCGTTTCATCACCTTGTTGACACGGCCAAATCGAGAAGATTGTCAATCTAACGGAGAAGTCTTCGGACGCTGATTGGATGACTTTGAGTGTTGACTTAGTCCTCTCATGGATGCACGATAGTACTACTACAATACTATATGCCCCATTTTCATACCACGTGGCGTAGGCACCGTTGGCGTTGATAAGCGAATTGCATGAGGTAAATAAATATATCGATTCCATATGTAAGGGTAGTGGTACCACCTCAGTTTTTGTTGGGATATCCTTCTTATGTGTGGTGGCTGCGTGGTGTGCAAGATCTGATGGTCGCGTGCGTCGTCGGTTTCGGGTCTTCGATGTCAGCGGCCAGCGCGGGATGGTGACGTCCGTCGTTGGCTTTAGGTCGGATCCTCCTGGATCCGGTGCCTGGATGTTGGCAACCCGGTTTGGGTGCTCCAGCGGCATGGCTGGGTTGTTGCTCTGCTCCGGTTGTTCTTCTCGATCTTCCTTAACAATTGACTTGGAGGGAGCCCACATGGCACTTTCTTCTCCTCAGTAGGTTTCGGTTGACGGCTCGCTGTCGGGTCCGGAGCAGACGGAGGTTGGTGGTATAGTAGGGGATCGGAGGAAACTTTGATCGGATGGTTCGGCCCGGCAGCGGCGGCGTCTCTCGATAGTGTTATCCTCCTTGGTGGCGAAGTCGAGGTGCTTCCTATCCACCCCCGACCCTCTCCCGGACGAAATTCCAAAATCCATCTGGGATTGGGTGGCAGTGGCACCTTGTGCGTCGTACCCTCCATGGAGTCGCCGTTTGGGGAGGCTTGGGTGTTCGGAGGAGGGTTACTGTAGAAGGTGAGCTCCGCGTGGCAAGGGCTCCAGCGGCAGCGACTGTGTGGAGATTGGCAGGTGGAGCGACGTCGCATCTACTGCATCGACGACAGCGGATCTTGGTAGCATGGTGCGGCTGAGTCTCGGCGACAGATGCTGAAAGGATCGATATGGTTGACTAGAGGGGGGGTGAATAGGCAACTAACAATTTTTAGACTTTTCTTTAACAATTTAAACCTTGCAATGAAATAGGTTGTCTAGATGTGCAACTACATGGACAACCTATATGATGCAAAGACAATAAGCACACAAGCAAGCAATGGATATAACTCAAGTAAGCTTGCAAAAGTAAAGGGACAAGATAACCAAGAGTGGAGCCGGTGGAGACGAGGATGTGTTACCGAAGTTCCTTCCTTTTAAGGGGAAGTACGTCTCCTTAGAGCGGTGTGGAGGCACAATGCTCCCCAAGAAGCCACTAGGGCCACTGTAATCTCCTCACGCCCTCACACAATGCGAGATGTCGTGATTCCACTATTGGAGCCCTTGAAGGCGGCAACCGGACCTTTACAAACAAGATTGGGGCTATCTCCACAACACTTGGAGGCTCCCAACATCACCACGAAGCTTCACCACAATGGAGTATGGCTTCGAGGTGACCTCAACCGTCTAGGGTGCTCAACACCCAAGAGTAACAAGATCCGCTAGGGATAAGTGGGGGAATCAAATTTCTCTTGGTGGAAGTGTAGATCTGGGCCTTCTCAACCAATCCCGAGCAAATCAACAAGTTTGATTGACTAGGGAGAGAGATCGGGCGAAAATGGAGCTTGGAGCAACAATGGAGCTTTCGGGGAAAGAGGTAGGTCAACTTTGGGGAAGAAGACCCCTTTATATAGTGGGGGGAACAATCCAACTGTTATCCCACTGACCAGCCCCGCATAGAGCGGTACTACCGCTAGGGAAGGGCGGTACTACCGCTCCGGGCGGTACTACCGCTCAACCCAGCGGTACTGCCGCGCTGCCAGGGCCCTGACCCCAGGGCGGTACTACCGCTAGGGAAGGGCGGTACTACCGCTTAGGGCAGTACTACCGCTCCTACTACCGCCCTTAGTGCCGCAAAACCTGACACGAAAAACTTCGTTCGAGAATCGAGGCGGTAGTAGCCCAGACGCACAGGGGTACTACGGCCGAAAACCCCAAGCGATACTACCGTTTGGAGAGCGGTACTACCGCTTGGAGCGGTACTACCGCTGGGGAGCTTCGGCGGTACTACCGCTGTGGGTCGCGGTACTACCGCTGGGGCAGAGCAAAGCATAGCAAGGGGAAAACGGCAGCTCCAGTGAAGCGGAAAGAAAACGACGGGTGTGATATGGATGTGTACGTGTTGATTCCACCCTAGTCTTACCAAAGCGGATCCCCTCTTGATAGTACGGTGACTCCTACGGGACTAGTCCACCAACAACGAAACGAAGGAGCTACACCGTCTTGAATAAACCACCGAGGGGAGAAAATCGCCTCGTGCCAAAGGATGAATCTCTGAAAGAACTTAACGCACGCGATTAGTCCGCACAAGCATTGTCATCAATCACCAAAACATCTTGGGGATAAATATGCCCTTACAATCTCCCCCTTTTTGGTGGATTGATGACAATACGGGATTTGCACAATATGATAGATATAGGATAAGCGCAAAAACACAACCGTCCTAAAATGTAGAAGGGCTCCCCCTGGATGTGTGCTACCTAGATAAGTGCTTTGGACTGCACGGCACAGATGCCAGGATCAATGCTCCCCCTACATTTTAGAGACCAACTACCTAAGCAAGATATATGAGAGCAACATATAGATAACAGGATAAGCATGCAACTCATAAGCTAGATAGACATAGATAATGATACTGGAAAGGTAAGGTAGCATATGTCTCACACCATATGACTCGAGCTTAGGTCTCACTGACAGAACCAGAACTTAGGTCTCACTGACACAAACTAAATAAAGCAACAAGCGAAAACACAAACACAGAAGACGGAAGACACAAAGCACAAATCCCTAAACTCTCTCCCCCTTTGGCATCGAGACACCAAAAAGGAGAGGGAGTGCTGCTACGGCTCTAGGTGAAGGCAAACGAGGGACACCCATCAGATCTCAGAGGGATCATCTGTGCCACCATCGTCAGCCGGGAAGTGCTCAGCATCAGAATCAGTCCAAGGGCAGTGCTGCTGAATCCACTCCTCCTCCTCGGTAAGCTGATCCTCAGAACCACTAATCACAATAGCACCCATCTGACGCATGAGCTCCTTGTGGCGACCTTGGGCCTTCTTCTCAGCCACATGAGTCATGTACTAACTGTGAGACTCCATGCAAAACAGCTTCTTCACCTTGATCTTGAGCTTCTTGGCCCAAGAGGGCTCTGCCTCAGAAGGCACGTAGTCATCATCTTCATCCTCAGCCTCAGCCCCAATCTCCTCCTCAGTTTCCATGGCAGCAGCAGATGAAGGAACTCCAGTCCTAGGGGCCTGAGTGCCCCAGTTATCCTTCTTCCTCAGACGCTTGACATCATGAGAAACCAACTCTCCAATCTCCAGCACCACCTTGGGATAGACACGATCCCAGGCCTTCTCAATGAGTAGCATAATGAACGGACCATAAATCGGGCACTTGCGCTCGGAGATAGCAGAAACCAGCTCAGACCACATAACATGAGAGATATCCAAGGACTCTCCGGTGTTCTGCCCCTTCTCCCGCTGACAGAAGAGAAGCATGTCCACGAGATAAGAGTGAACCTGGTCCAGATTCCCGATGCGAGGGAAAAGAGTCTCTCTGAAGATACGGTGAAGAATATCCAGATAGGCAGGCAGCTCATAGGTTTCCTTCTTCGTCTCAGGATTGATCCTCAGAGTGCAGTAGGGCCACAGAGCTTGCTTGTGAGTGGCATTAGCGCGACGGTGGGGGCGAAAGCCGATAGGAGACTCAAGACCTAGATCTTCCACCCCAATCAACTGCATGAAAGCTTTCCACTTGACTGAAAGCAACTTGCCATTTGTCATCCAAGTCAGTGTCCTGTCCTCATCAGTCCTAAGGTGAACCGTGGCATAGAATTGGGCCACAATATCAGCATCATAGTCCTTGTTGAATTGCATGATCCCGAGAATGTTCAGTTGAGTGCACATCTGAAGAGCTTCACCAAAGTAGTCAGGATTGTTCTTCATATGCTTGGTGTCGATGGAGTGCACGTTGACATAGAGATTCTTCTTGGCTTTGAGAACATCAAAGTAG